TGATGATATGGGGAATAACAAGAGTTTATCCTTGTAGATTTTTTTCCATTGAGATAGACCTTGGGCATCATGAAGCTGCACACGTCCTTTATATAGGCATACCTAGTCGGTTTAATGTGGTTTCTATCAGGGGTACAATACGATCAGATGACTCGACTATTACAGGAAACATATCTCCTATAACTAATTGTTTCCTGAATTAGTGCACTAGTCCTTATCCCTTATGGGTGTCTAGTCGGACGTGAGACTCGGAGTTCCTTAGATACTCATGTTGGTGATATTGTCAGACTTTGCTTGTACAATACCCTTCCCTAGTGGGTGCATTAATCACTAAAGAACTCGGATACCATGCACAATCAAATACAAGACCACTCGTGTACTAGAAAATATGATGGATCCTTTGTCCAATAGTGTGGCACTCAAAACAAAAAAACTCAAGTAACCATTGATTCAACACTGAAACTATTATATTTTTTAGTTATTTTTCATGATTACACAGGCCATGTTACAAATGATGTTGGACTAGACATACAAAAATCACACATGAAAAACAAAATGATCCAAAACTGAGATCAAGCAATCTTGATTCAATGTACGAACTATTATGTATTAAAATTTCCATGTTTTCATGCTTATATACCATGTCTTAAATCAAAATCCATAACTAGATATTATTGAAATGAACGGAGACCCCCAAGATAACTTCATTATAGAAAAATATCACTTGGTCACCAATGGAAAAAAAATCTTCCATTGTAAGTAAAAATAAATAAAAACAAATCCGAGCACCATGCACTAAAACACCTGATAGAATAATGCACGAAAAACATGATGATAATCAAGTGAACAAAACCACCTAAAGCGTGGCGCTCAAAACTAAAACTCGATTCAGCGCGTGGACTACATTTTTTTGATTTCCAAAAAATTACGTGGTTACTCTGGTAAATGAAAAAGCAAAAACCCACAACCACAAAGTGTTTCTTTCACAAATTGTCCACACGCCGACAAAATAAACGAAGGCAATTTAGATACAAGAAGATAGGAAACAATTGCCAAAAATGGAATCATGAATGACATAACACAATGGTCCTTTGGTTCGTTATGCATGAGGTGTACACAGGTACATGATTGGCCAGTACTTTAGAAGTCAAATCCGATAACTTAACAAACTTAACAATTTGTAAATGCATTGTTAGTAAAAGAATACCATGTCATATATAATATCCCGTACCCACAAGTGCTACCCCTAAACAAATTCATGGTTGTTGCTAACAGAAAATTGAAATCTAAAATATAAAATATTGGAACCAATTGGGGTACTATGCATGAAGAAACACGATGGAATAAAATGCAACAGAACATGTAAATTATCTAGATACTTACTGGTTAGTACCAAAAACCTTACCCACAAATTGCCACACCCTCCCTAATTCATGGGTGTTGCTAAAAGGAATTTGAAATTCTAAAATAAAAAATATTGAAACCAATTGGGGTACTATGCATGAAAAAACACGATGTAATCAAATAAAACAAAACATGCCAATGATGTAGGTACTTACTAGTTAGTACCAAAAAACCTTAACCATAAAAATGTGAAATTAAATAGAACCTTCTAAAATTTCTTTTTTGATCTTGGAAAAACTAGCATACTAATAGTTGCACAACAACCTCCAATAGAAATATTTAAAATAAGGCTAGTTGTTTCTACCCAAAGATCACATTTCTTATCGTTAAATGTTTTGTTACCCATTTCCCCGTTGTTTGAAATTCCAATTTCTTACCATAAAAATATCACATTTTTTTCTCCCATTTGTCTCATGTTTAGAACCGAGTAACATAGTATTGGTTTATTCAGTTGGCGTGAACTGTTACTTCCTTAATTCTCAAACTTTCATGGTTAAACTACCATAAATTCTGACATCATAAAGGAAAACCAAAACAACCAAGAACTTATTTTCCAAATTTTCACGCCGTATAAGGAAAACTATCAGTATAAGAATCAAATAGGGAACCATGCACAAAAAATATATGATGTAATCATGCACAATACAGACATTTGGATAAACAAAAGCTCATACTTGACCGATGATGCGATGCTCAAAACCGATAACTCAAGCAACCAATGGTTCTAACACAAAATGTTTATTTCTTGATTTTTCAAAATTTCATGGTCAATAATACGATAACTATAGGATCAAAGATGTGCTAAATGTGGACTAGAGGGGGGTGAATAGGCGACTACAAAATTTAATACTTTCTTAGTTGCTTTTAGAGGTTAGTGCGGAAATGAAAGTTCTCTAGATATGCAACTAGGTGATACATCCTATATTATGCAAAGAGGTAGGAAATAACGAATGCCCCCACGACAACGAATGTCTCACCTAAGCCTCCAAGATTATTGGTAAATGCCAAAGTTCCCAATCAATAGAGGTAGATTTTTGGGCAAGGTCCAAATCCTCTCAAACTAGACCAGGGCACAACCACACAACTTGGAAGATCCCGGGAAACATCAACTGTCTACGGTTCCCCACAAAACCCCATAGTAACAAGACAAACTCGAGTTTCTTCTGTGGTGAAGTAGTAGATCAGGATCTCCTCTAGCTCTCCCTAAAGGATGTAATCAATGGATGGATAGGAAGGCTCAAGCTTTTTTAGGTGTAGAACAATGGTGGAGAAAGTATTTGGATGCACCCCCTTCCTCGTGGGGAAGTGGTGTCCTATTTATAGGTCCCAAAAAACCGTAGCTATGTTGATATCCCGATAAAGTCGGACAGTCCGACCTGAGTCAGACTGAGTTGACATGTCAGACAATGTGGGCGGGGTTCCGACGCATGCCTGACCATAGCCGCTTCTTTTTATGGTCGGACATGGGTCGGATATTACTCGAATAGTCTGACCTATAGGATGGTCCAACTCAAGTCGGAATATATGTCTCGTTCCATAAAGCAAACACATAAGCCAAACACCAAGTCAGACTATCTGACAAGCTCCTGACCCTTACCAGAAGTAAATAACCGCGGGATGTTGGGCTGATTCACACATGGGATATTGGTGGCATGGTTTATCGTGTTTATAGATTCCCACACTCCAATCCATGGTGTATCCTATTGATAGTACAACATACATACGAATCAAAATCAAGAAATCACCGATAGAAAATCGATGTGCCATCTTCTTTTTCCCTTTAGCTAAGGGGGTTACCGACCAACTTTATGTTTCATGTCCAATGATGTGTGTAGTGAGAACAAGCTCGTAACATAGTTAGTTGTCTAATCATAATCTCATTAACAGTAAAACCCTCGTTAGGGGCTAGATGTCCTTTCAGTCCCCCTTTGGTGGTGATGACATTATGGTTATCCCAATCTAAAAAAATATTGTGTAAAGCTCATCACTGGGTTTTAAACTTGAAGTTTAGGTTGAGCTCGCTCTACATTTGTGTACACACTACAAATGTTTGCATTTGAATACGAAGTGTAGAAGGTTCAATGAATGCCCCCCCCCCATCAAAAAAAACTTTAGAAAATGGAGGGGGAGGGGGGGGGGTGCAAAAGTGAACATAGATGCACAAGGTGAGTTACACATTTACTGCAACTTGTGACATATGAGATGACTCAAAAATACATTATGCATATAACACAACCATCTCAACATGACAAATAGTGTTGCGTGTGACCTGGAAACAAATGAATAACATTCCATGAGACAAATATGAACATGGCAATAACAAGATAAAAGCTCACCAACTAGTTTCTTTCCAGAGTTGCCATGAGGTCAAGAAGTGCAACATAAAGTTCTAAACACATCAAAATAGAAACAAATATGGTCACCATGTTGAGAACAGAAAATACATGGAACCATGGATTGCAAAAGAGCACATTTCTTTTGGTGGTGGCCAGGTGAGAGGAAATCACACAATTGACCAACAACTTGGCACTCGAGACCAATAACTAAACTAATAATTTATTCATTTAAGTTCTTAAAAGTTCATTGTTAGAAATACCATATTATAAATGATTTACACTAAATATTACTCCCATTGTGTCAGAAAAGAAGGAGTATTTTTTCTGAAGTCAAACACTATAAAGTTTCACAAAGTTTCTATGAAAAACTACCAAGAATTACGATACCAAGTTGATATCATTAGATAAAAATATATTTTCATGTTATATCTATTTAGTATTGTAGTTGTTGCTGACATTTTCTATAAACGGGATCAAACTATGCCTGGTTAACTCCAGGAAAAAAATTATAGACCTTATTTTCATGAACAGGGGGAGTATATTTATGCAACACCATCAAATGGATGAAAAGCGTCATCACTAGTGTGGTTCGTGAACCATTAGCTTTGATTTCATGGTTATTGACATGGTAACATGGAATCAAATAACCACAAAAGTGTTTAACTTCTATTTGGTTAGCGGTGGGGAAATATGTCCTCCAGTGAAACCAATCCGGACAAGATGCATGAGGAAAACGACGCAAGGGCAAAACACGACAATCCTTTTGATACCCCCAGGTTGACCAAAAAGCACGTAATTCATCGTATCGTGAGTTCGTGACGCTCGAAACCGACAAATCAAGCAACGGTCGGGCGGACTATTAATTTTTGAATTTTTGAATTTTCATCACCGTTGTTGGTTTTTTTTTTCGAAAAAGGGATTCCCCGGCCTCTGCATCATCGCTGTTGTGTTGTAAGGGAAACCTGTGACCAGCAAAAATGAAAGTAGAAGCCCCTAACTAACTTGTTTCCATATCTGCGAAGGGCAGAAATGTCATTCTAACCGCTATGCAACAAGGTTCAACAGAAATCTTCCAAACAAAGCTATTTCACCCCAATTTTCTACCCCAGTCTGTTATGTTTTCACACGTTTGTCCCACACTTTGAAATCCCCCCTAGCTCCCTTAAAACCTCCCCTCGTCCGTCCTCCCATTCGCCTCGCCCCCACCCGCATCCCCGTTCCCACCACCACCACCACCTAGCTGCCGCGGCCGCCGCTCCCATGGCGGAGCTACGGCCTCGCCCTTCCTGCCGGCTTGCCCTCCTAGCCTGCCTGTGCCTCTTCCTGCTGGCCGCCGCGCCGCCCCTCGCGCTCGCCCGCGCGGCGCCCGCCGCCGACTCGATACACAAGCTACTGCGCTCGCACGGCCTCCCCGGCGGGCTGCTCCCGCGCAGCGTGGAGTCGTACACCCTGGACGAGGGAAACGGCCTGCTCGAGGCGCGGCTATCGGCGCCGTGCTACGCGACGTACGACAACGGCGACCTGGCTTTCTTCGACACCGTGGTGCGAGGGAATCTCAGCTTCGGCGCGCTCCGCGGCTGTGAGGGGCTGGCTCAGGAGGAGCTCTTCATGTGGCTCCCGGTGAAGGGCATCCTCGTCTCCGACCCTGGCTCCGGCGTCATCCTGTTCGACATCGGCTACGCGCACAAGAGGCTCTCAAGGTCGCTCTTCGAGGAGCCGCCGGACTGCAAGCCGTCTGCCAGCACCAGTATGGGCGCCGTCGAAGCCGCCAGGTGGAGGGATAGTCCAGGTGAGATTTTCATCTCTGAGATGTCTCAGATTTGTTCCGTCTCTAAAGTTGCTAGTCGGTAGGAAGTTCCCCTTCTCGCTGGGCGTTTATTTCGACGTCCAATCAGAGCAGCTCCGCGTCAAGATTTCGTTCCGACGGAGGTTTTGGTACGAATTTACCATGCCCAATCTCTCATCTGAGCTCAGCAGTGTGCCCCCAGTTTGCTGATTCGATCCCGCGTCGTGATCTTGGTGGCCGCAAACATTGGATTCCCCTAGTCGATTGGAAGAAGAAAACGGGGGATTCTTGAGCGAAAAATTGTTCGTATCCGGAATTTCTTCCGTTTCGATTGTGCAATCGTTCTGGGTCAGTGGAACGCGTTACAGGTTGGCAAGTAGGCTGTTCTCTACTAATTGATTCGGTGAGACGGAGCTGGAAAGTTGGAATTTTAATGTTTCTTTGGGTTGGAAGCTTGTTGAGGAGTAATTCCTGGAGGGGTGGGTGATTAATGGCTTCAGTTATGGAGTAGCTGAATTTGGGCACAATAAATCCGCAGGAAACTTGCTCTGGTGTTTGAAATCAAAGCCATGATTTCAGCTCTGGAATTCGAAGTCCTTCAGGCACATTTATAAATCAGAGTTCCATTAATCCTGACTTACCAAATTTAATCTCCTCTTGTGTCCCAATTGGTTGAGTGAATTATTATTAGTAGTATATATAATTGTGGGAATTGGAGCTCATTAAGTTAGCCATGGTTGGGTGTCGGTAGATTCAGGCACAAGCTCTCGTGATTTTGCTATTGGTCACTCTTACTAGTACTCGCCATTGAGTAAACCCTAGATCAATTAGGGCAAACACATTAAATAATCTGGAACCATTGGGTTAATCCGAACCTAATTTTGTGATGGTGCATTAGGATCAGGCAAGTTGCAGTGCTGCAAGTGGCAAGAAGAAGAGCAGCAAGCATTAGATGCTTGCACTCCTGGTCTTATTAGCAAAGTTTTTTTTTTTTGCCTAGCACAAGGCTCCAGTCCGTGTATCCATCCTCTTGAGGAATCAACCACACGCCAAAAATTTTCTCTCTCCTTGATCCGTTTCTGGTTTGCTACCGGGCTGGGTTCGTTGCTTTTCTCATTTGCAAGATGGTTATGTTTCCATGTTAGAATGTGTGTCTCATCTCATCGCCTGTCCTTCTCTGGCCTGCGGCTCGTGCCTTCTTTTCTTTCCTGCTGCTGCTATTTGTACCGGACTGATGGAGAAAGGCTGATGCCACAACACACCTCGCAAGAACACAGCGTGTCCATAGCTTAAGCCAGGGAAGTTCTAGAAGTAGAGGGAACCAAGGGTGGGCGTCAAGAGCTCACTTTGGTTTCCCCCAATGGCTAAACTTCACATGATTGATGTGAAGCTTTAAATAGTCGGAGTACCGTACCCCAAAAGAAGGAAAGTAGTAATGAACTCCTTTTGAGTCCTTTTTGTTGCCATTTCGCGAGCCAGCAGTGGCAGTAGTAGTTTACCTGCGCACAGTTGTAGTATGCACCGCTTTAAATTACTCCAGGCTACAGCTGGAATAACAGTAAAAAAGATGTGTCTGAACAAGCTGTTGCTTTTTGCTGTGAAGCTGCAGGTGTTCCTGGGCTGAGGGAGAGGATAGAGGCAGAAGGAGGAGAAGAGCACCTGGACCAGAGGTGAGAATGAGCGTGTGAGGAGAGGAGGAGGAGAGAGGAAGACAAGAAGACCGAGACAAGTTCACCAGTTTTCCCCTTGTGTAAGATCAGACAGAACCTGTGGTGATGAGTGAGAAGTGCTGCAACAACTGATAATGCCCGCAGAGGTTGGAAGAAAGAATGTGTGTACTTAATGGAGATGTGGGTACCTTTTGCGCTTCTTTTTTGTTCTGTTTTCCCTCCTCTTTCTTCTCTCTCTCTAGTCCATGCATGCAATGCTCCTGTGTGATAGTGGTTGAGTATTAAGTTTGTCAGTGCTGTGTTACAAGCAAGAAAAGAACAAGGTAAAAAAAAGGCTGGCTGGGGAGCCAATTGGGGGCTGGCTGGCTGGCATTTTGTGTGGGATTCTTCCTTCCTCGGGGAATTCCTTCCTTGGCTGAGCTGGTGGTGCCATGCATGTGGAGTGGCCGTCTGCCAGCTCAGCAGGGGAGTGAGCTGGCCACAGCACATATGGTTGCTCCTTCCCATCCCTGCATGTGACCTTCTTGTGTTGGCTGCCTGGCTGGTGGTTGAATGCTTCTCCTGCTCATGCTTCTCCTGCTTAGGTATGGTGATTAGCTGAGGACATAATACAATAATAGTACAACACATGCTACTACGATTATTATTCAACTATGCCAAGATCATAGGTCCGGTATTTAGAGTATGATATAAGAATTTTAATTAACTAGTGTTCTTCAATACTCCCTCTGTACCTGAAGTGCAAAAACATCTTATATTTTGGTACGGGAGGGAGTATAAGCTGTTTTGATAGTTTATAAATCAGAAACAGAGGTGGTAGTATAGTAGTAGTTAGTTTCTTCCATGCCTAGGTGGTGTGGTGTGCAAGTCGTAATGAGAGTATCTATCTATCAATCTAGTACCCCGTCCCTTTACTACCAAAAAAGAAGAGGGAAGAAATTCAATGGACAGACACAGGCCTCCGTCCAGCCAACGGGAAACAGCTACGACGCGTATGGAATTGACAGGATGATGGAAAGAGGTCTGGGTTTTGTTTTCTATTTCCTGTCTCCTCTCCTCTCCTCTATCCCCACTGCTATCTTCGCTTTCATAAATAAATCCCTAGGGCTGTTTTTTGTGTTGCGTGATGGCGAGGGGGGGTGGGGTGGGGGGGACAAATATCCTGTTGCCGTTCGTGAGATATGCAAAAAATGTGAACGCATTCTATTTTGAAGAACCAAAACTCCACACGCCCGGGAGATCCCATCGGAGAGCACAGTGGCTATGAGTTGCTTTAGTTAGACCTGATTGCCCAAGAGCCTCAAGGTTTATTGTCGTCGAACATGAAGAACAACGAAAAACGAGAGAAGAAGAAGGGAGAAAGATAATAAAGGAGGAACCCCCAAAAAAAGAAAAGGAAGAAATTTCGTGGATACCGGCTGCAAACTTCATCACGTGCATACCCCCACTCCCCGAAAAAGAAACGTTCGCTGGAGGAACTCGCCAGAACGAACCAAAATGGCCCAACATGTATTTCTTAACAGGCCTCCTCCCCCAAGGCATCACTGCTTGTTCCAAAAAAAAAAGTTCCAACCGGAAAAACAATAAGATTTTTTTGGGGAAAAACAACCAGCTTATTTGATGTATGTTTGAAAAAAAAATTTGGCATACCTAAAAAATATCATAGCACAAAAATTACAAAATGACAAGCAATACATACTAAAATCTTTTTTTTTGTGGAGATCAAATACAATACAAACTAAAGAAAAATGGGCAAGCTAGGAAAAAAAGGAATTTCACATGGTTTGTTCCAACAAAAAAAAACATGTTCCAAAGAAAAGAAAAGGATAAAATCCTCAATGGTTAAAATTAAAAGTTAAATTTTTTTGTCCGACTTTTTTATTGCCATGGTCCATACACTAATTTTACCATGATGCATAAAATAAATTTGCCATGGTCCCGTAAAATGTAATTGCTTGTTTTATAACTACTGCAACTGAAAAAGCACGAAAACTTAGGTAGGACAATACTCAGACTTTTCAGGATGGTTCGAGTGTGTTACGTGATGTCTCCGTCACAAGCTCGACGAAGGCCCCGACTGTTTGTCCGATTGAGCTGGACATCCCCACCTGAATTTGGCCGGACAGTCCGACCATCTTTAGACTCTCCTGTGCAACACACTGCTTTGGCATCGGAAGTTGTATACGACCACTAATGGGGATGACTCAAAAAACATAGTTGTCTATTTCGACAATACGAAGAACTTTGATGTTGAGGACTTTTTATTTAAAGCTCTGAGTTACCCTTTTTGCGATGTCAAAAATTTGGTGTGAACACATGCTCCTTTTTTTTTGGCAAAGCGATCGTGTTAAAAAATAACTTGCACCAATTTTGTTCTAAGGACAATGTTAACACTCCAACGACCATTTTTTATGCTTAGCCCGATACGTATATCTCGACCATTGTCTGTTTGAGCTGCTTAATACAAACTCGAGCGAAACCTCCTCAAGTTCTTGCTTAGTTTGGGTACAAGCTTTTGAAATAATACCATCAACAATTCCATGTTAAAGGTCATTATACAAATATGCATTTAAAATGCCATCCGCCGAACTATTTTTCTTTGACAATTGAATTGCAGGGCAAAGCCCCACAACCTTGTTGGGTACAAGGAGAAAGAAATAGAGAAAGAAGATGAAGAAGATTACAAGGGCTAACACCCCAAACAAAAAATAATTACAAGGGTAAATAACCCCCAAAAGATGAAAGAGAACCCTAATCTAAAAGTAAAGAAGAAATCAAGGAGGTAAGTGAGTTACCCATCTAATTAAGTCATCCTTGAATCTAGCTTTAATTCAGTAAGCAAGCAGTGACATGTCCCTAACAAAACCAGATCCTCATTTAGCAAAAGAAGGTTTGTCATTCCTGAAAACTTTATCATTCCTCACTGTCCAGATATTCCAGCATGCGGTGAAAACTACTTCAGCAAAGAAAGGCAGACGAAAATCCCTCCTAGCCTGAAAGGCTATTTCACACATGTCATGTCCAATAGACCACTGTATTTGGAGAAAATTCCAAATCCTCACTCTAAAATTGCATGTGAAGAATAAATGTTCCCTGTCCTCCTTAGAGTGTGCATGATAAAGTACACGCTTAGGCCCATCTAAAGTATTCCAGTGCCTCCTCTGAAGCATATCTGTGGTATTAACTCTGTCCATAATCATCGTCCATGCAAAAACTTTGATTTTCATTGTGCAACAACTTTTCCATACCCAGGATAATAAAGGATTTGGCTGAATAGGAGAGTATATAAGATCATAATACCTTTTGGTCATGTATGTTTTATCACCGCCTCTCCAAAACCAAACATCATCCATATTCTGAAGGTGGATAGAAGAGAAAATTGATTTAATCTGCTACAACTCCTGAAAAAGACCATATTAGACATAGGCAAATGGAACACTGATAGCAAATTATCACAATTAATCACCTCCTTGACAGTGATAAGTTGGTCCTTTGCATAAGAGAAAATTCTCTTGAAACAAAGTTGCAAAGGTGTGACAGAGTTACCATGCTTCCATTGGCCATTCCAGAAAAGAACAATATCACCTTTATTGACTTGTATCCAGGTGATTTTCCTAAATGTATTAACTAACTCTAGGATATCCCTCCACCAATATGAACCACATAATTGAGTAGACCGAGGTATCCTTTCATCATAATAAGAGTTCCAAATTAGCTCCACCCATGTCACCTTACTCTTGTTAAAGAGTTTACTAGCTTGCTTTAGGAGGAGGCCATCATTCTGAACTTCCAAGTTTAAGATGCCTAAGCCACCTTTGTTTTTTGGCCTACAGATGAGATCCCAGGCAGCCAAAGAAGGGGTTGGCTCCTGCCTGTTTTCCCTCCATAAGAATTGTCTTTGGATTCTTTGCAACTGCCTAATTATCCCTGGCGGAACCTTGATTATACACATTAGGAAAATGAGCACGGATGAAAGAGCAATATTAAGAAGTTGAAGCCTTCCTCCTTGAGCCAGAAAAGAGGAGCTAGCTATTAACTGTTGAAAATATGCCCTAGAGACAATAATATTGTATTATTATATTTTTCATGTTCATAATTAAGAGATTATGTTTCATAATATAACTGTTATGATCCTGGAATATGCGATTCAGTGGGAAACTCGTATGCACGTGTGAAATGATAAACGGATAAAATAAAGGTTCCTAGTCTCACGGCTAAGAGTAGCTCAAATGTTGTTGGTGATCATGTTTTTCGGACCTTAGGATATCAGTAAGTGTAACGATAGTCCTAAAACAACATTGAGGTTATGAAGTTGGAAGAACAATCATATTGAATCGACCCAAACTTGTTTGTTATGAATTGAGATAATGCTTGTAATCAATTGTAATAACAAAGAGTGTTAACATGTGGTTTTGCTCCTTAGACCATGAGAGTATTGTAGTCACTTCTTACCGTATAGTGGACTTTGGGGTTGCTCAAACGTCACTTGTAACACGGTGATCATAACGACAACTTACAGGCTCATCGGAAAGTTTGACAAGGGATAGATAGCTCGAGAGTGGGATTTGCTCCTCCTACGATGGAGAGATATTCTTAGGGTCCTGTTGGTGTGACAACCTCCATCATTGTCTGGCCAGACATAGGTGACTACATCATGGGGGTGCCGGAACACGACAACGAGAAAGAATAACAAAACTGGTAACGAGGATTTTGGTATAGTGAGCATGTGATAACCCAGGAGTATACCGATGCATCTCGGGTTTTGTAAATTATCTCTAAGCAGAGGGAACATCACATAATAACCAAAGTTTCACACGAATATCATCCGTGTGCTCGTACGAACCGATATGGACGTCCACGATTCCGCTATCGGTCATTGAACAAAGGGGTTTCGTTCATGTCTATGAGTTACTGAACCTACGAGGTTAGAAGCTTAAGGAAATCACGATATGCCAAGTGTTAGTAGGACGGGAGTGATGAGGATATATTTTTGGAATTGTTTCA